CCCCTTGACCTGTCCGTCCTCCCTGGACTGACCTATCTCCTCCCTACCTCCCCAACTACACTCACCTTTACTGGCTCCATTCCCGCTTCTTTGACCTGTCTGTCTCCTCTCCACCTATCTTCTCCTCTATTCATCTTCTATCCGCCTCCCCCTCTCTCCCTATTTATTTCAGAACCCTCCCCCATTTCTGAAGAAGGGTCTAGGCCCGAAACGTCAGCCTTCCTGCTCCTCTGATGCTGCTTGCCTGCTCTGTTCATCCAGCTGTACACCTTGTTATCTAGGACTTAGACACTTAATGGTCGGGTCTTGGGAAGTGTTGCTGAACAAAGAGCCATTGGAGTTAGGGTTCATAGTTCCTTGAAAGTGGATTTGCAGGGAGATAGGATAATGAAAATGGCGTTTGGTATGCTTGCTCTTATTGGTCATTGCATTGAGTATGTGAGTTGGGAGGTCATGTTGTGGCTGTACAGGATGTAGGTTAGGCCACTTTTGGAATACTGCAGCAATTCTAGTCTCCCTGCTATAGGAAGGATGTTGTTAAACTTGAAAGGGTTCAGAAAAGATTTACAAGGATGTTGCCAGAGTTGGAGGGTTTGAGCTCCAGGGAGAGGCTGAATAGGATGGGACTATTTTCCCTGGAGCTTTGGAGGCTGAGGGGTGACTTTTATAGAGGTTTATAAGATCATGAAGGGCATGGGTAGGGTGAATGACCAAGGCCTTTTTCATAAGGTACGGCAGTCTATAACTAGAGGGAGAGATAGGAGGAACTGCAGATGCTGGAGAATCTGAGATAGCAAGGTGTAGAGCTGGATGAACACAGCAGGCCAAGCAGCATCATAGGAGCAGGAAGGCTGACATTTCGGCCTAGACCCTTCATCAGAAAAACATTTTGCTATCTAAGACGAGGGAGTAGCTTTAAGGTGAGAGGGAAAAGATTTAAAAGGGAGCTGAGTGGCAACTTTTTCACACAGTGGCTGGTGCGTGTATGGAATGAGCTGCCAGAGGAAGTGGTGGAGGCAGGTACAATGACAACCTTTAAAAGGCACCTGGATGGGTACATGAATAGGAAGGGTTTAGAAAGATACGGACCAAATGCCGGCAAATGGGACTAAATTAATTTAGGGTATCTGGTCGGCATGGTTGAGTTGGACTGAATTGTCTGTTTCCATGCTATAGATCTCCTACTCTATGACTCTATGAACTTCTGATTATCAATATTCAGTTCAACTGTACCTGATACAATATGTTCACATTTATATCCCCTATATTCTGATATCTGGAAATACTTGTTAACTGCAGCAATTTAAGAATATTTTTCTTGGACCTATGAAATTTTTGAAAATATGTCCACTGATCATATCTCTCTTTTTTTTTCTTAAAAAAAAATCCAGCTATTGTATGCCAGTCAAATTTGTTTTGACAACCTCAAGTAATCTCGTTATTTATGTTGACTGTTGAATTATTATTTTCTGTTTGCAAAAATTGATCTAAAATAGCAGTGAGTAGTAGCTTGGAGTAATTTGAAGCCCCATTATGAAGTCTAGACCTAAGGCCAGGTACAATTGAACTGATCCTTTCATTAAGGTACATTTTACATTCCTTCACCGTCAAAGGGTCAAGGTGCTGGAATATGGTACCCAACAACACTGTGGGAGCACATTTTCAACATGGGCTGCAACAATTCAAGAAGAAGACTGAGAACCACATTCTCAAAAGCGATCTGGCATGGCCACTAAATGCCCACCTTGCTTGTGATGCCCTTATTCTGAGAATGAACGTGAAAGTGACGCTCTGTAGCTGCTAAATCTGCTACAACTCTCTATTGGACTTGGTTGAAGGAGGATTCGGTCAAATGTGATTGTTGGTTGGACAAAGGGTGACATTATTGTAACACCTACTTCAATCCTGCACTTTTTTCTGTTCATTCATGGGATGCGGGTGTTGCTGGCTGAGCCAGCGTTTCTTGCCCATCCCTAGTTGCCCTTGAGAAGGTGGTGGTGAGCTGCTTCTTGAACCGCTGCAGTCCTCCTAGGTTGACCACAATGCCCTTAGGGAGGGAATTCTAGGATTTTGACCCAGTGACAGTGAAGGAACGGTAAGATATTTCTCAGTCAGGATGGTGAGCAACTTGGAGGGGAACTTGCAGGTGGTGGTGTTCTCATATATCAGCTGCTTCTAGATGGTGGTGGTCATGAGTTTGAAAGATGCCATCTGAGGATCCTTGGTGAAGTTCTTCAGTGCACCTAGTAGATAGTACACACTGCTGCTACTGAGGGTCGGTGGAGGGAGTGAATGTTTGTGGATGTGGTGCCAATCAAGTAGGTGCTTTGTCTTGGGATGGTGTCAAGCTTCTTGAGTGTTGTTGGAGCTGCACTCATCCAGGCATGTGGCGAGTATTCCATCACACTCCTGATTTATGCCTTGTAGTGGTGGACAGGTTTTGGGCAGTCAGGAGGCGAGTTAATCGCTGTAGAATTCCTAACCCCTGACCTGTTCTTGTAGCCACTGTGTTTATATGGCTAGTCCAGCTCATTTTCTGGTTGATGGATGTTGATAGTGGGGAATTCTGTTTTTTATTCATTCATGGGATGTGGGCACCGCTAGCTGGACAAGCATTTATTGCCTATCCCTAATTGCTCAGAGGGCAGTTAAGAGTCAACCACATTGCTGTGGGTCTGGAGTCACATGTAGGCCAGACCAGGTAAGGATGGCAGATTTCCTTCCCTAAAGGACATCCGTGAACCAGATAAGTTTTTCTTGACAACCGGCAATGGATTCATGGTCATCATTAGACTCTTAATTCCATATTATTATTAAATTCAAATTCTACCATCTGCCATGGTGGGATTCGAACCCAGGTCCCCAGAACATTACCTGGGACTCTGGATTAATCGTCTAGTGTTAATACCACTAATTCATCGCCTACCCTAACTTATTGATGGTGACACCATTGAATGCCAACAGATGATGGTCAGATTCTTTATTATTGGAGAGGTCATTGTGCATTGTTGTGGCGTCAACGTTACTGTCAGCCCAAGCCTGGATATTGTCTGTGTCTTGCTGCATTTGAACTTGGACCACTTCAGTGTCCGAAGAGTCACAAATGGTGTGAACTTTGAACAGTGATTGGTGAACATCGCCATTTCTGACCTTTTGATCGAGGTAAGGTCATTGATGAAGCAGCTGAAGATGGTTGGGTCTAGGACACCATGTGTAATGTGCAGTAGCAGAATCTAGGAGACTTCTGTCAAGGTATCTGATTCCAACTGGTTATCATGAAGTCGTCAGTATGCCTCATTTAAAACAAAATATTCTAAACAAAGGGAAATGGTAAAGAAATTGAAGTTAATCATTCTTTTGAGGAAAAGCAAAACAGAAATATTCGCAACAGTCAGCAGGTCGATGGAAAGAGGATAAATCACTCTTCAGGAATTATGATCTTCTTTCAGAATCACCTTTGTAACAATTTTAAAGACATTCTGATGGATAGATACTTCTTTCAGATGCTTGTCCAATCAAAGTGTCAGTATGCCTCAAGATTATAGATCTTTTTAAGTAGGTATTTATCTCAAACTGACTTTTATAAGCAAAGGATTGAACAGCGCCAGATATTTATTAGAGCCCCTGGTGAAATAATGAATGAAGTAAGTCTTGGCACAATCAGTAGTTTCTGAATGCATGTTGGCTGCATTTCGCTGCACTGCACCCTTACCACCTACCCTATAACCCAGCCCCAACCCTGACTGAAGAGCTGGCCGTGGGAACTGAGACATCAAGCTAAGGGGCTATTGTTAGCAGCCACTGTGACATGATATCTCTCTCTCTTTTTTTTTTCTAGCAGGCTCACAAGACAGTTTATTGGAAATCACCTACCGATCGACTGTGCCACCGGTGCTGTGCGATCCCACCACACCCAAACCGGAGGACATTTGCCTGCCACAGCTATGTGATGGATCAGACCTCCCCCTTCCACTGGGAAGTCCACTAGGTATGGATGACTGTCTGGTAAAACTGGAGTGCTTCCAATTCCTGCACGATGAAAAGAGGTCCCATGAAGAATTCATGGGCAGTCTGGAGCTGATCAAATTCCGAGAATCAGGAATAGCGTCTGAATATGAGTCTAATACAGATGAGAGTGAGGAGAGGGACTGCTGGGTTAATGAGGAGTCAATTCGGTTAATGAATGTGCTGAAGAGGCAGGATATGGGGGATTGTCTGGATGATGAAATTGCAGTGTAGCCGCCACTGCTTCTATAATTGAAATGTGACACACTGATCTGTTCCAATGGTCAACCAGACAGAGCTGTCATGTGGAAATAATGGCAACTGATTTTTAATCCTGACCCAATCGATTTAAAGTAACAGTAGTGCAATCTGTTTAAAATCAGCCTGTACTTTGCTTCTTTAAATATCTAGTTCCAAAGTTTCATAAAAAGGAATTGATGCATCATCACATTCTTTAAACGTTGTGGAAAGGTAGAAGCTTACAAATGCCTAAAGGTGGCAAACTGAGACACAGTTATAAGCAGTTAGTGAATCGGATCCGTGTAAGCAATATCTCTTTGAACTGAAACATTTGAACCATCGATAAAGTGATTACTTGTGTATTGAAGTCACAAATGCTGACAAAGTCAACATTCTGTCCTTTCACTTGGCCACAGCAGTATTATACTTGCCAATAGTATATTTTGTTGGTTAGCAAGAGATAGGAACATTCCATCTGTACCTAATTTATTTGTCATAGTCACTTCAGAAATAGCACTGAAGGTCACTTGAGCACGAATAGCAAATATTTGATTGAGAGGATATGTAGTTCTAGAATTGTACATCTCCCTGAAAACCATTCACTACAAGTGCTGTGTCCAAAATAATCCAGGTGGGAACTATATAACTTGAAAAGATTTTACATCTGTATGTCTAGTGTTAAATTAGAAGTACTTTTGAAAAGCACTGTGCAAACACAGCAAGGTCCCATATACTTTCAAAATGTCTCAACACTGGGTTTCACCAGTATGCCAATAGCTATTGGTGTATTCATTATTAATTTGGGGCTCTCTCTTGAGAAAAAGTGTTTGACAGATCTTTTCATTTTGGCTGCTTTGTGAACATCGGTCATTTAAACATTATCATGAGACGTCTTCAAATCCAGACATGGCATATGTGAATTTTTGAGTCTTCCCTCTGCCACAAAACAAGTTTACCACATTGATGGTAGATATGGAAGCTCGTCGACCTACAATGAAACTGTTTGCTAGTATAAATGGAGGTTGAATTATCATCGTTTTGGCAAGTCAAGACTCTGAGGAATTGCACATCTCCTCCCATAAAAGCAAAGTCCTGCAGATCCTGGCAATCTGAAATAAACACAGTGAAGGCTGGAGCAGGCCTGGCAGTAGATAGAGACAGAGTTAACGTTTCAGGTCCAGTATGATTCATCTTTGGAACTGTTCTGAATAGGAGTCATACTGGCCTCAAAACATTCTGTTGTGTTAGCATCATGTGTAGCCAATGCAATTAAGTTTCTCCAACAAGAGGAAGCTAGTGTGTTTTGATTTGGTAAATCTTGTCCCAAACAAACAAAGATTTAAGGAGGGAAGGGGGTGAAAGTCCTCCTTTAGTTTGAATCGGTGTCAACTATTGGTTTATAATCGATTGGAGGGAAATTCTTTGTATTCAGCTGCCAATGGTTAGACTAATAACCTTCCCATTGATCACACTGCAGTCTCCTGGACGGATGGTGAGATGTTGTTTGGCTAGATTTTCCATGTATTCGGAGTTAGAAATGTCAGCTCAAAGTGGATTCAAGTTTTGACTTGTCATTCAACGGACACAGTGAGGACACCCTCCATCGATCTCCCTTCAACCTGGGGAAAGCAAAAAAGGCTTGGAACTCGTTTTTGTCCTCATGGCAAACAGTTTTGAATGTGTAAAATAAAGCAGATGAAAGATAATGGGTGAAGCTGGTTAAACTAGGGACTTGCGGTAATTGGAATAAATCTTAGAAGGAAAAGCGTAGGGGAGAAGGAAGGCAGGCAGAAGTTTTATACAACAGACTATTTAAAACTATTTTAGTATGGCGACTTTACGTTTTATGACTGCAATATCTCAGCTAATTGAGGAAGCGCAAGGGATTTTCATGGTGAGTAAATTTTGACTAAATCCTTTCTAAATAAAAGGAGGCACAGAGAGCTCAGAATTCGTTGAAGGCGTCATGACTCTGGGGTTAATCTTTCTTTCCAAGTATCGCTGCTGCCAGAAATGGTTCATAATTCAAGCATTTGAGTTTTTTTTTTAAACGTGAATTAAATTATGTGACGTCTAGAACAGCAAAATAAAACCTCACATAAAACTGGAAGTGAATAAATTCTGGCTTGAATGGATATTAGCAAAGGATTTCTGGGTGACTGTTTTAATATTGGGAGCTAGTTTCTGCTTATAAATCACTGCAGCTTCCTCTTTTGTGGTTCCTCGTATTATATAAATCTCCTTGATTTTTTATCACCCATCTTGTAACCACCTTATCTATAATTCTAGATCTGATAGCATTTTTACGACCATTTTATTTTATAGTCTGCTCCAGTACGGTGATACATTTTGAAAATGAGAAGACAAAGATGATGAGGAGCAGGTTTGACAAGCTGCCCTTTTCAAAACTGCTGTGACTGGATGTTTTGGTTTCAAGTTCACCGACCAACCCAGAGCAATAAGTTCCAACCACGCAGCGGGGCATCCCAGCAAAGACTGGGCTTTGCCTTCTGTTGCACAGATTCATTCAATTCTCAGATCTAATTTGGACAGCCAGAGCAATGAACGTACCGTGGTAGCTGCCTGTAGAGCTGGGAATAAATGGGTGGTGGACAAAGGAAAACACTCAGGTCCATCTCGTTCTTCTATCATCTTGGTAGTGACCTTGTAACATGTTGGTGTTATTGATTAATCAAACATTCCTATGAGTCTACAATACATCAGATATGAGGCAAGAGAAAGCCCTGTTGTGGTAGGATTTCAGAGTCATTGTGCTTCCTCCAAAGCATACTACATTTACCATATCATCCCTCAAATTGGTCGAATGTTCTTTCGAAGTAATAAATCTATCCAACTGGTAGGGAAAATGAGAGCTTATTTGAAACTAAAAGGCTGGAATGAAATATTTTATTTTGCAAGCCTATTGTTACATTGAATTTATGTCTGATTCTGCTAGGGGCTGTTCTGTCTCATAGAGCATAGAAAGTAGGATCAGAAGTAGGCCATTCAGCCCTTCGAACCTGCTGTGCCATTCTGTATGATCGTGGCTGTCCATTCAACTCAGTCCCCTGTTCCCACTTTCACCCCATACATTTTGTTCTAAGAACTGTATCTAACTCATTCTTGAAAACAGTTTCTTGATGCATTGTATCTGGAGAAAGTGTCTGTAAAATCTTTCTTCTGTGGTTGGTTGGCTCGCCGAGCTGGTTCGTTGTTCCGCAGATGTTTCATTACCCTGCTGGGTAACATCCTCAGTGCAGCCTCAAATGAAGTGCTGTTGTGTTTTCCCTCCTGTTATTTAAACTGGTGTCTGTTGAGCTGGATTATCTCCCTTCCGGTTTTCCTTCACAGTGGAGTGTATATGGGGTCGAGTTCTATGTGTTTGTTGATGGCTTTCTTCATGGAGTACCAGGCTTCTAGGAATTCCCATGCCTGTCTCTGCATGGGAATTCCTGGATGCCTGGTACTCCACGAAGAAAGCCATCAACAAACACATAGAACTCGACCCCATATACACTCCACTGTGAAGGAAAACCGGAAGGGAGATAATCCAGCTCAACGAACACCAGAGTTTAAAAACCAGGCATTTCACAACAGCATTTCATCGGAGGCTGCACTGATGATGATACCCAGCAGGATAATGAAACGTTTGCGGAAAAACAACGAACCAGATCGGCGAGCCAACCAACCACAACATTCACAACCCGAGCTACAAATCTACTCCAAAACCTTAAAAATCTTTCTTCGTTGGTTGTGATTAATGTGGATAGGCTGCCGAAGGAATGTCTTTCTTTAGAGGTTTGTTTTAAGGGCAAGGGGGTCAACATCCATGTCCAAATGACCATCCACAATGAGGATGTGGATGAACCTTCTTTGATCCTGAGTAGTCAGACTTTCAAATCCACAGAGAGCAGTGATGGCTAATCTGCTAGCGGACTATGGGTGGAGGGATTGTGGTGCGAGGGGGAGCGAGAGCAGAGGTCCGAGGACACTCCTGAGAGTGACCCTTGGAAATTTGTAGGTGAGAATGTCAGTGAGAGAAGATAATAGGGTTGTTGGGGATCACTGCTGTTGACAAGGCAGAGGTGGACGAGACACACCATCTCAAGGAAGCCACAGAATGTAGATATAGGTTGATTCAGGCCCAGTGTGGCAGCAATTGAGAAGGAACAAGGAAGTGTACTGATAGGAAGTGGCAGGAATTCAAAGAGAGGTAAGCTTCCTGTATGGGAAGAGATGAAGGGTACCTTTGCTGGGAGGACAGAATGCAGGCCCCAGACAAACTAGAATAAATGACAGAGAGAGAAGTAGTCAAGCCAGGTGTGTATGGCAAAAACAAAATTGGGTACAAATTGAGTTGGGTGTACCGAAAATTTGTTAAGTCCAGAATCCACAAAGTCACTCGGCAAGATCAACAACCTCAAACCATAGAATGTGCCTTTAAAACTGCTAAGCCTACAATGTCTAGCTGCAAAATTCATAATCTCAATCTGCACCGTCCGAAATCTTGATCTGCAGAATCCACAATACAAAAGGGGGAATTCACATTCTCAAACTGTGGGTGTTACAGTTGTAAATTGTAGAAACCCCAGCCTCAAACCTGCAGATCACACAACTCCCGCCCTGTTGAAGGTATAATCTTATAACCCCAGGATCCGCAGTCTCACTGCAGAATTCAGAAACTCAAACAGCAGCAGTTATAATTGAACCTGCGGAATCTATGCACTCACTCTGTAGAATCCACAATCTCACTCAACAGAATCATTCTCCAGAATCCACAGCTTTTCTCTGCAGCCTCCATGCGGAGGATCTACACTTGCAAACTGTGGAATCGACGATGTTGCTCTCCTCAATCCTCGATATCCAAACCACGGAATCCGCAGTCTCAAATGCGGTTTCCACAATTTCAGAATCCACCAGCACAAGTTGTGGAAGTTACTGTCTCGCTCTGCAGAATCCACTATCTCCAGTTTCAGAATGCAGGATCACAAAATGAACAACAATCAAGCTGTAGATTTCACATTTGTAACAGAATTCCTCCCCTCCCAGAAACCTCTCCAGTAGGGAATTCTTCCTATTTGTCACTACGACCCTCATAGAAATCTCCCCACCTCGACCCCCAACAGGAACTTTATTTTACACCTGTGTATGAGAGGAAAGATTTAATATTGAGGGCATGGATTCTGAATCTTGTCCCTATATGAGAATGAGAGCAGTGAGTTGTAAATTTTTGTGTATTTTGAGAAGTAGAAATATGTGCATTTATATAGCACCTTTCACAATCTTCATGTCTTGAAGCCACTGAAATACACTTTGAAATGTAGTCACTGTCGTAATGTCAGAAAAACAGCAGCTAATTTTCCCCCACGGCAATCTCCCATAAGCAGTAAATGACTAGACGGGGTGGCCACGGGTACCCGCATGGGCCCAAGCTATGCCTGCCTCTTCATAGGATACGTGGAACAATCCCTCTTCCACAGCTACACTGGCCCCATCCCCCACCTCTTCCTCCGTTACATTGATGACTGTATCGGCGCCACCTCGTGCTCCCACGAGGAGCTCAAACAGTTCATCCAGTTCACTAACACCTTCCACCCCCACGTTAAGTTCACCTGGACCATCTCTGATACCTCTCTCTCCTTCCTGGACCTCTCTGTTTCCGTCTCTGGCAACCACCTAGAAACCGGTATCTATTTCAAGCCTACCGACTCCCATAGCTACCTAGAATACACCTCCTCTCACCCACCTTCCTGCAAAAATGCCATCCCCTATTCCCAATTCCTTCGCCTCCACCGCATCTGCTCCCAAGTTGAGGCATTCCACTCCCGGACATCCCAGATGTCCTCGTTTTTCAAGGACCGCAACTTCCCCTCCACAGTGGTCGAAAACGCCCTCGACCGTGTCTCTCGCATTTCCCGCAACTCATCCTTCACACCCCCTCCCCGCAATAACAAAGAAAACAGAATCCCCCTCGTCCTCACGTACCACCCCACCAACCTCCGGATCCAACGCATCATCCTCCGACACTTCCACCAGCTGCAATCTAACCCCACCACCAAAGACATCTTTCCCTCCCCACCCTTATCTGCTTTCCGGAGGGACCACTCTCTCCGTGACTCCCTTGTCCGCTCCACACTCCCCTCCAGCCCCACCACACCCGGCACTTTTCCCTGCAACTGCAGGAAGTGCTACACCTGCCCCTACACCTCCCCCGTCACCCCCATCCCAGGCCCCAAAAAAACCTTCCACATTAAACAGATGTTCACCTGCACATCCACTAATGTGGTCTATTGTATCCGCTGTTCCCAATGTGGCCTCCTCTACATCGGGGAAACCAAGCGGAGGCTTGGAGACCGCTTTGTGGAACACCTACGCTCGGTGCGCAACAAATGACTGCACCTCCCAGTCACGAAGCACTTCAACTCCCCCTTCCACTCCTTGGACGACACGTCCATCCTGGGCCTCCTGCAGTGCCACAACGATGCCACCCGAAGGTTGCAGGAACAGCACCTCATATTTCGCTTGGGAACCCTGCAGCCCAATGGTATCAATGTGGACTTCACAAGCTTCAAAATCTCCCCTCCCCAAAACTCATCCCAAAACCAGCACAGCTCGTCCCCACCTATCCGTTCCTCTCCCCTCACTGACCTGCCCCACCCCCATCCCCTACCTACCAGCCTCATCCCCGCCTCCTTGACCTGTCCGTCTTCCCTTGACTGACCAACCCCCATCCTAACTCCCCACCTACACTCACCTTTACTGGCTCCATCCCCGCCTCCTTGACCTGTCCATCTCCTCTCCATCTATCTTCTCCTTTATCCACCTTCCATCCGCCTCCCCCTCTCTATTTATTTCAGAATCCCAATCCCCTTCCCCTCCCCCATTTCTGAAGAAGGGTCCGGACCCAAAATGTCAGCTTTCCTGCTCCTCTGATGCTGCTTGGCCTGCTGTGTTCATCCAGCTCTACAACTTGTTATCTCAATGACTAGAAAATCTGTTTTTGTGTTGTTAGTTG